TATATATACATATGCTATATACATATATACATATGCATAGATACATATATATACATATGCATATATTACATATATATACATATACATACATATGCATATATACATCTATATACATATGCATATATACATATTATACATATGCATATTATACATATATATACATATATACATATATACATATGCATTATATACATATATATATATATAATATATATACATATGCTATATACATATATATACATATGCATATATACATATATATACATATGCATATATACATATATATACATTGCATATATACATATATATACATATGCATATATACATATATTACATATGCATATATACATATATATACATATACATATATATACAATATACAATATATAATATATATACATATGCATATATACAATATATATACATATGCATATATACATTATATACATATGCATATATACATATATTACATATGCATATATACATATATATACATATGCATATATACATATATATACATATGCAGATATACATATATATACCATATGCATATATACCATATATATATTTACATATATCCATATATATACATATATTACATATGCATATATACTATATATACATATGCATATATAATATATATACATATGCCTATATACATATATATCATATGCATATATACATATATATACATATGCTATATACATATATATACATATGGCATATATACATATATATACATATGCATATATCCATATATATATTTACATATATCCATATACATATGTATATATCCATATACATATGTATATATCCATATATATATATTTGATATATCCATATATATAAAGTATATATACAATATATAAGTATATATACAAATATAAGTATATATACCATATATAAGTATATATACAATATATAAGTTATATATACAATATATAAGTATATATACAATATATAAGTATATATACAATATATAAGTATATATACAATATATAAGTATATATACAATATATAAGTATATATACAATAAATAAGTATATATACAATATATAAGTATATATACAATATATAAATATATATACAATATATAAGTATATATACAATATACAATATATAAGTATATATACAATATACAATATATAAGTATATATACAATATACAATATATAAGTATATATACAATATACAATATATAAGAATATACAATATATAAGTATATACAATATATAAGTATATACAATATACAATATATAAGTATATACAATATACAATATATAAGTATATACAATATACAATATATAAGTATATACAATATACAATATATAAGTATATACAATATACAATATATAAGTATATACAATATACAATATATATATATATATATATATATATATATATATATATATATATATATATTATATATCATATATATATTTGCATATATCCATATATATATTTGCATATATCCATATATATATTTGCATATATCCATATATATATTTGCATATATCCATATATATATTTGCATATATCCATATATATATTTGCATATATCCATATATATATTTGCATATATCCATATATATATTTGCATATATCCATATATATATTTGCATATATCCATATATATATTTGCATATATCCATATATATATTTGCATATATCCATATATATATTTGCATATATCCATATATATATTTGCATATATCCATATATATATTTGCATATATCCATATATATATTTGCATATATCCATATATATATTTGCATATATCCATATATATATTTGCATATATCCATATATATATATTTGCATATATCCATATATATATTTGCATATATCCATATATATATTTGCATATATCCATATATATATTTGCATATATCCATATATATATTTACATATATCCATATATATATTTACATATATCCATATACATACTGTATATATCCATATACATATTGTATATATCCCTATACATATTGTATATATCCCTATACATATTGTATATATCCCTATACATATTGTATATATCCCTATACATATTGTATATATCCATATACATATTGTATATATCCATATACATATTGTATATATCCATATACATATTGTATATATCCATATATATAAAGTATATATACATATATATAAAGTATATATACATATACATATTGTATATATCCATATACATATTGTATATATCCATATACATATTGTATATATCCATATACATATTGTATATATCCATATACATATTGTATATATCCATATACATATTGTATATATCCATATACATATTGTATATATCCATATACATATTGTATATATCCATATACATATTGTATATATCCATATACATATTGTATATATACATATATATAAAGTATATATACATATATATATTGTATATATACATATACATATTGTATATATACATATACATATTGTATATATACATATATATAAAGTATATATACATATATACATTGTATATATACATATATATATTGTATACATACATATATATATTGTATATATATGTATACATATATATTGTATATGTGTATTTATAATACACATATGTATAGATGTTTATAAAAAAAAAAAAAATTAAAAAAAAATCAGACCACAATGTAAATATCAGAACTAAATTTTGTACTCAATGCATATTCCTGGATAATTTTCAACGGAACTCTAAATTAAGGTAAAACAGCTTCTAGATTAAATATGACAATTAAGGTAAAAGTTAGAGGACTATCATCATCAAGCTGAATTATAAGGATTGCTGATAATGTCATAATAATACAAATACAAAGATAAATACAAGTAATAATAATAGTAATAGTATTAGTATTGCCAATAATGGTAGTAATAATGATGATGATAATAATAATATGTGTGTGTCTGTGTTTGTATCTGTATGTGTATGTGTATATGTATATGTGTGTGTGTGTGTGTGTGTGTGTGTGTGTGTGTGTGTGTGTGTGTGTGTGTGTGTGTGTGTGTGTGTGTGTGTGTGTGTGTGTGTGTGTCTGTGTGTGTGTGTGTCTGTGTGTGTGTGTGTCTGTGTGTGTGTGTGTCTGTGTGTGCGTGTGTCTGTGTGTGCGTGTGTCTGTGTGTGTGTGTCTGTGTGTGTGTGTCTGTGTGTGTGTGTGTCTGTGTCTGTGTGTGTGCGCGTGTGTGTGTGCGCGTGTGTGTGTGTGCGTGTGTGTGAGCATGCGTGTGTGTGTGTGTGTGTGTGTGTGTGTGTGTGTGTGTGTGTGTGTGTGTGTGTGTGTGTGTGTGTGTGTGTGTGTGTGTGTGTGTATGTGTGTGTGTGTGTGTGTGTGTATGTGTGTGTGTGTGTGTGTGTATGTGTGAGTGTGAGTGTGAGTGTGTGAGTGTGTGAGTGTGAGTGTGTGAGTGTGTGAGTGTGTGAGTGTGTGAGTGTGAGTGTGAGTGTGTGTGTGTGTGTGTGTGTGTGTGTGTGTGTGTGTGTGTGTGTGTGTGTGTGTGTGTGTGTGTGTGTGTGTGTGTGCGCGTAAGTGTGTGTGTAAGTGTGTGTGTGTGTGTCTCCATGTAAGTGAAAATGTATGTATGGGTGAAGGTATATGCAAGTATAACTGCATTTGCATATGTAGGCACACACACACACTCATACCAATATGTCTATCTTTTTAAAATACACCCTTTGCAATACTCTCAACAAAGCACAGATTACCATATCACAGTGAGTATCCGATCACAAGAACAAAGTTATAGAAGTAGACTTACCTTTTTAAAATGAGCTAGCATGTCAGGGGATTGCCGGCACATCTCCGTTATCAGGGTGACGCCAGTAATTAACACACCTGACGGATGACCAGAGTTCACAGTGAAAAATCTTGGCAAAAGACATGAATGAGAATGAATGATTTTGCAGCGTGTTTGACTATTTCTAATGAAGACACGATCAAAACATGCCAAATACAGTTCTTGTATTGTGAGATCATTCATTCTCTCTCTTCTACCACTTTTACTTTGCCTGAAGAATAAATCTGAGCTTCAGCCATTACAGGCAGATGCTTGCTTGTATCTATCACAATCTTCAGAAAACTGAGATGCAGGAGAAAAAAATGTAGCTCTTAGGCGAGATTGGTAATGAACAATTAGTCTTTTCTATAACAGCCAAATCTTCATAATAGCATATTTGAAATAAAAGTATTCAAAATTTCATCTTTGTAAATCAATATCACATTTTGCTTTTTGAATTTAAATTTTAGTAAAGCAATTCTGGCATTCCTTTGAGCAATGCAGATGATGTGACCATCACATCATGAAAAAAATGGCTTGAGGAGTGGGTGATGTGAACATGCCATCATAGGAAAATTTGGCTCTGGGCTGGGGTGATTTAAACTTGCCATTGTGAGCCAGCTGAAGGCCAGGGTGACAGAAATGACTCGCCATGGGGTGATAAACCTCTTGGAGGGTGATTAAACTCATATGGTGTTTAGGTTGGGGTTTTTGCATGATTTGCAATGATAAACAAGTGTCGAATGTACCATCTGTGAGCCATGACTGGAAGAGCACCGGCTCCAGGGAGGACAATATTTCGATGCTCAGGATCCTATTACTGATGGCTGTGACCCACAGTGCAGGTTGTATTACAGAAAACTGAATATTACAAAAAATGAAAAGTAAAAACTGATACAAATAACAAAATGTTATTTATTGAAATTATTACTGCACTGAGTTATGGACTAACTAGAGAGATGATATGGAGTCTGTGCAAGGAAATAAGTTTATTACAATCTGGATAAAGGAACTCAAATAACGAATATAGACAATGGGAAATGGCAAAAAAAAAAAAAAAAAAAATTTTTTTTTTTTTTTTTTTTTTTTTTTTTTTTTTTTTTTTTTTTTTTTTTTTTTTTTTTTTTTTTTTTTTTTTTTTTTTTTTTTTTTTTTTTTTTTTTTTTTTTTTTTTTTTTTTTTTTTTTTTTTTTTTTTTTTTTTTTTTTTTTTTTTTTTTTTTTTTTTTTTTTTTTTTTTTTTTTTTTTTTTTTTTTTTTTTTTTTTTTTTTTTTTTTTTTTTTTTTTTTTTTTTTTTTTTTTTTTTTTTTTTTTTTTTTTTTTTTTTTTTTTTTTTTTTTTTTTTTTTTTTTTTTTTTTTTAGTTATAGAAGTAGACTTACCTTTTTAAAATGAGCTAGCATGTCAGGGGATTGCCGGCACATCTCCGTTATCAGGGTGACGCCAGTAATTAACACACCTGACGGATGACCAGAGTTTACAGTGAAAAATCTTGGCAAAAGACATGAATGAGAATGAATGATTTTGACTATTTCCAATGAAGACACGATCAAAACATGCCAAATACAGTTCTCGTATTGTGAGATCATTCATTCTCTCTCTTCTACCACTTTTACTTTGCCTGAAGAATAAATCTGAGCTTCAGCCATTACAGCCAGATGCTTGCTTGTATCTATCACAATATTTAGAAAACTGAGATGCAGGAGAAAAAAATGTAGCTCTTAGGCAAGATTGGTAATGAACAATTAGTCTTTTCTATAACAGCCAAATCTTCATAATAGCATATTTGAAATAAAAGTATTCAAAATTTCATCTTTGTAAATCAATATCACATTTTGCTTTTTGAATTTAAATTTTAGTAAAGCAATTCTGGCATTCCTTTGAGCAATGCAGATGATGTGACCATCACATCATGAAAAAAATGGCTTGAGGGGTGGGTGATGTGAACATGCCATCATAGGAAAATTTGGCTCTGGGCTGGGGTGATTTAAACTTGCCATTGTGAGCCAGCTGAAGGCCAGGGTGACAGAAATGACTCGCAATGGGGTGATAAACCTCTTGGAGGGTGATTAAACTCATATGGTGTTTAGGTTGGGGTTTTTGCATGATTTGCAATGATAAACAAGTGTCGAATGTACCATCTGTGAGCCATGACTGGAAGAGCACCGGCTCCAGGGAGGACAATATTTCCATGCTCAGGATCCTATTACTGATGGCTGTGACCCACAGTGCAGGTTGTATTACAGAAAACTGAATATTACAAAAAATGAAAAGTAAAAACTGATACAAATAACAAAATGTTATTTATTGAAATTATTACTGCACTGAGTTATGGACTAACTAGAGAGATGATATGGAGTCTGTGCAAGGAAATAAGTTTATTACAATCTGGATAAAGGAACTCAAATAACAAATATAGACAATGGGAAATGGCAAAAAAAACAACAATTATAAACGTTTTTGCAGAAAGAGAGAAAATAACATTGCAATGGAGAGCCAAGGAGTCTTGTCACCACACTCGAGTGTTCATATGCACCCGGCCTGCTAGTAAAACACACACACCCCAACCCCACACACATATATGATCCATATGGTCTAAGCAATAAGCACTGACCGTGATTCTTTTCAGAGAGGAGGGAGCGTGTGGCTGGGAGATACATCTCCATCAGTTCTGGCACTTTGCAGATAATTCGTAATGCACAGACAGCTGCCTTTTTCCTTATATATGCATTAGATGATTTTAAAAGTCTCTCTACTTCTCCCGCTAGATCCCTAGACATTTCTGGTGAAGCAATGGCCCCGAGGGTGCAGAGCGCTAGGCCCTGGACAAACTGGGTTGATGAGTTCAGGTCACTGGAAAGTAGAAGCCATTAGCATATTGGCAAAGAATATTAAGCAGCTGTAAAAGAAAATGATAAGACACCTGAAGAATGTAACAATAACTAAGATATGATGCTTGCACCTTTTATTTATAAACAATTCCATCCTATTTTTGTAACTACTTCTAAAAGTCACAAGTAATAAATATAATTAAATCAAATCATAAAACTCTCACACATCTCAAATCTCAGTATTCTAAATAAATGACCATTTCCTAAAAACAAAAATAACATTAATATATCTAAATGTAAAAGCAGGAGGCTAACACAAGTTTCCCAAAACTCACTTTTTAAGAGAGTTGGTAATTAAGAGGTGTACATCTTGCCGTTCATCCAACAGAAGCATGGCACCAAGGTATCCAATACGCTTGTCTGTAAACCGGGGTGATGCTATAAGCTTCAGACACTCCATCTGCCCAAAATGTGCTGGATACCTGATAAACAATGAAAAGTGTATGAAGTGAAAATCACAGAAAAAGAAGAAAAGAACACATTGTTACCTTATTTACATCATAAATATCCATTAACAAACTCAAAAGACATGGACACATACCCCAGCATGTGTATGTATAAAAGTTTTGCCACATTTCTGCATCTCCAAACAGAATCCTCTTCTCTGAATGTGAGTCGGATATATGCACACTCTCTGTTAACAACTGCTCGCTCCTCGGCTGCTGTCTTCGCCGAGCGGATCTGTCTGATGAGGTCTCGAAGGCGGATGGGGTTGGGTTGTCTCACTGTGGGACAAGTAGGTTCAAATTGCAAAACAATTAAATGCAACAAATCTTTTGGTTAAACAAATGCCAGCATTGTTAAGCTGAAATTCATGCCAATGTGTTAGAGAACACAGGACAACCTACATCATCCCACGCATATTAGTACAAACACACAAAAATATTGTTTATGATGAACCACTAGTTACTTAATTTTACTTTATATTAAGTCATTGCAGATAAATTCAAATGTAAATATCTTACACTTAGAAGTTCACTGCTAATTTGCCAAAAATATTTTACTGAACCAAAATAAAAAAATATTATCCCATCCAAAGTATAATAACCTCAATGGAAACTTCTTTTTCTTATCTCCTTACAGGGAAGAGCCAAAGAAGCAACTACTCACAGAATTTAAATCCCAACTCTAGCACATAAATGATGTAACTTTTGTTTAAGGGGGCTGGAGACACTTACAGCTAAAATCAAAATCACTTGTAAATTACAATGTTTTTCAATTTCCTACGAATTCAATAAAGTAAAACTAAATACTGTAAATACAGCCTTTTAAAGATTCGACATGATTACTGCCTCTTATCTCCTTCCTGAAATCCATGATTATCGTGTCTTAGTCATCATCATTAACCCATTGCTGCCGGGGAACATGAACAAAAAATGGGTGAAATGCAGTACTCATTTTTTATATTTTTGTGAAATATCTCTGTCCATAGATGGCTCTGCTAGTCCTGATTTCACCTTTCCTTGAATAGGCGGGAAAAAAACGTATTTTTACTAGTGCTGTAAATATAGATGGTGTTATTTTTAACAGCAAATTAGGATAACGTTAAATATTTTCGTAAATCGATGAAAAGGGTGAACGGGCGAGGCAGGCAGTACTGTAATTGGCTCATTGGATACTTAGTACAAGTGTAGCCATCTATGTGTAAAAACAATCGAACAAGTCAACTCACAGTGGGCATGGCATGTGCGTACATGCCATCCCCGGCGGCAATGGGTTAAGAGAGAGCGTATTCATCTACTAGTAGCATATTTAAAGGAATACTCATCAACAGTTGGTGGGGGTCATCAGAGCAGTAAATCATTGGAAAGAGGTTTTGTTTTAGCAGCAGTGGGCAATCTTCTCTTTCCTAAATAGCCAGTCCTCGCCACTTTTGTAATATTATATCTAAGGTGGGAGCACCACACATCTGGCTTCATAGCTTGTTTTTTAACTACTTTTTATTATATCTTTTCAGTACTTATGAAATGTTTTATGATATATCATAAGCATATGGAGAGGCATACTAAATTTCTTTGCAGCAATGAGGAGGAAGATGTGGTGGGTGAGGGGGGAGGCAGGAAGGAGTGAGCCACCACTCCCTCCCTAGTAAAGCATCCTTCCAAAGGATTTTTTTTTTTTTTTCAATATACTTCAAAGTTGTTTTCTAGTAATATTAGGCATTCATTAATTATTTTCGTTACCCACTTTGATTGTAAAAACACAGGGAACCAGCACAAAAAAAGCAAATACCCTGAACTAAAATGTTGATGAGACAGCAACCCCCACATTACCAAGTCACGATTCTTTGGTACCATATGTACAAAAATATCTTCTAAATACATTAAAAACAAAGGTAATTCATCCAATGCCAAAAATTAGTAGGTCTGAAATCCTGACGCCCCTTGGTGCAGATGCCCTTGTTCCTTTAAACCGTCCTATACATTCACGCTGTATGCAACAAAACAAAACATTGGTCAGGGATGACTTGTAGATGGTATATGAAGATTTTGAGTATATATTTGATTCCTCCCCTCCCCCCCCAAGTGTTACCAGCCCCCTTAAGCAAGCACACACTAGTCCTGAACGAGACCATGACTCTCTACTGATCCTCGCATCCATAATGCAAAGAGAGAAAACAAAGTCAACACACCATGCTGTAAGTTCAAGGCTGGAGAAGCTAGAACTTAGTTATGCAACAGAAATGCAACCTTAACATTAATTGTTAGTTATTATTACATCACACCCAAATATATATATATATGACTAGACTGTTAAAAATAACATATAAGCTTTCTTAACAATAGCTTCAGCCCAATATTCACAATCACTTATACGCAAGTGGATATAGATATGTATAAAATCTTCTCCCTACTGCTTCTCCTGCCAGCTGCAAGCTTCCTACTTCTAAATCTGGGTTATCACACAAACTTGGGTTTCAAATATGATAAAAATAAAATATATAAAAGTGAAAAATTAAGTAAGACCAAATCCATCGCTAAAACTATCATATCTTGTCTTTGAACCTTTGTCATAGGCTACCCTGACCGAGGACCCCGAGCGCATCTCCACCAGGTCAACAAGAGTCCAACCTATTGAGGAACAAGTGGACACTGTTAGTGCCATCCAGTGCCAAGCCAGATTATTAGTACTGCCTCTGCAGTTGCAAGCAAGCTCTTTCATATTCTCAAGCATATTTCATTCTTTATCTTCAGAACTGTTATTGCCATACCAATGAAACATGCAGCTGTTTCTAACACCTGTAACATATATTCCAATTACTCCTAAAGAGGGTTTCGTGGATATTTCAAATTTTCTTTGAAATAAGGCTGCATATGAGACTCATGACAGAATGGTCAACCATTCTTTTAAAAATTAGCATAACTCTTTAATGTTAAATATGACTCTCAAATCCCTTTTTGGAAACTCTTACAGTTCAGTAATTGAAAAATATACCCTATCAACAAATTCCTTGTCTCAAGAATTCACTTGATTAAATGCTTTCTAAGCAAGATAAAGAATCATCTGATGTTATTGGATTATAATGGATTTTCATTTCAAGATCAAAGATACTATACATACTAGTAACTTTGTACATGAATAAAAACAATGTTCCATTGTAATATCAGCTTTAAATTCCTCTTTTCAAATCCAAACTAATCCAAAATTTACACAAAAAACTGTGTATAAATACACATTTATAGAAATAAACACAACCACCACAAAAATTTCCTACATCTTGTTTCATTAAGAGAGCAAGAAAAAAAAAAAAAAATCCCATCAGTTAAAACTTCGAGCCAACAAGAATGAAATGAACGGGCAAATAAAGCAGGTCTTCAGCAAGAATTTCTTTCATAGTGAGCTGGCTGATACAGGTTCCAGGTGCAAGAGGTTCATCACTTGCTGCCTCCGTCTAAATTCCCTGACTATTACTTACCTTCGGCCAATCCTTCTGAAAGGCATTTTTAGTATATCGAGCTAAACTGTATAATTCACAACAGGACTAATGCAGTTTGTTATACTTTGGTTCATTCTAATTCTAAGAATCTATATAGCAAAGTTTCAAGCTATTATTCTAACCAATGATACTATATACTGGGATCATAATTCACTTTGGATTCTAGATCTAGCAGCAACTAGTGAAGCCCCAATTCACCTGGACCCAATCCACCTGCCCCCATGACAGCACAGCAGTACGGATATGCGTGGGTTGCGAGGGTCCCAAACGAGAGGGTCTACGTACCTTTTTCATAAACCTCCTTACCTTTCTCCACCGCATCATTGATCACCTGTTTTATGCTCGACATCTTGCCGAGGCTGTTGGTGGAAAACGTGTGGTTAGCAATGTCATGGCGGGAAAATTGATATTCGAAACCAGTGAAACATCTCAAACTTAGAAAATTACCCTTCAAATGTAATCACTACATTTAAAAACAAATTACATTTAATTATAAATTATTTTTTCCTTTTGTTTTTTTTTTCCAAGAAAAAAAGAAACAAAGTAAAAACATTCTCCTGAACTGAAACTTCGTTCTGAAAATAATTAGCTATTCTACCCAGCACCACCAAAAGAGTTAAGACTAAGAGATAACCACATAAACAATCAAAAGTTTTAAAATAATGCTGATGCTCTAAATATTTATTATATACAGAATTATTTCTTAAAAATTGGGTGATGTTGAACAGTGTGGTTCATAAACATAACACTTCTATTTGACAATATATTTTCCCTTTTCTTTTCACTCAACATGATCATGGAGGATTCTTTCTTGCTAAGGACTCCATTTCTAATAATCACAATAAGGGAGATACAAGAAAGCATTATCATTAAACTGGTAGATCAAAAGTACCCATATGTGAATAAAACAACCACCTCAAGTTTCAGATAAATACTAAAGCAACCAAATGCAAGTGATGGTCTCCCTGAATCATGGATTATCACTCAAGGAAATTTGTCCCAATTACCTGTGAAACTGCTTTGAGACTTGCCAGATAAGGGAATACCAAATGTGCCAATGGAAGTATTCCTAAAGGATGATTCCAGTTCGCTGACTCAGAAACTAACAGAATACAGAATAGATCAACCTCAGAAATGCTGGAAATGGGAAGAGCACAGTAAAGTGTTATAACTCCTATAAAAATCATGGAGAAGTAGCCTACAGAAAAATTACGTAACAAATGTTTGTATATGGTCATCAATTTCAACTAACAACTTAACAAATACCATGTTTTAAATAGCAGATTAATGTTTGACAAAACAGTGGTCTATCCAGTTTCACAGTAAGCTGCTATTTTCTTCTGTCTTATGAAATATTTTGGCAGAAAAAAAAAGAAAATAAAAATGCTTATAACTGTTAATTTAACCCAATGGTGACGGGTGAAGAAAACGGAAAAAAAACTCTATGCTCTGGCAAACAATGGCGGCGCGCCGGCTTTGAGCACGTGAGTTCGGTAAATCAGCCCGAATCATTGTCTAGCCGCACTTTGGCGCACCGCCGCGGCTTACAGCCACACACCAGCTTCACGCCTATCAGCGTCACCCGTCGTAAAGGGGTTAACCTCTGATGATCTTGGTGAATCTACGTGAAGTGCCACAAAAAATAAAATAGATAGAAAGCTAGAGGACCTACAACAGTGCCTGTCTGATTTTTGTTATTTATATAGAATTACAGTGGCACTCCTCAAATTTGCTAGATCTGTAAAGACAATTGCATAAACTTCGTATTCAATAACAACTGTGTCATCCTATTAGCAAGATATATCCCTTCCTTGTTTCCCAAAACTGAGTGTTGATAGCACCCTCCCATCAGAAGGACAGTGGGAAACAGGCTCTTCCTGTTTCTCAAACAATATCACCAACAGGAAGTCAGTACTTTTCATTCAGTAAGGAAGTTAAATACTTTACATGTCACACTTACAATTTGATAACCACAGACAGTGCAAGAATATTGGTCTTTTATATAGCTTTTCATTTCATACCCATGGGGCAAGCAAGTGAAAAAAAAAGAAAAAAAAAAGGAGCAGAACAGGTAATACTTGTAAAATTGTCAACACTGACCAGATAACGGAATACAAAGTTGTAAAACTGGAAATTCATATGGAACAAGGAAGGAAGGAAGTAGTATTCATTCATTATCATAATATTTGGTGTTAACTCGGTATTCCTGGAACCTGGAATATTTGGCAAATTGGAGAGCAAATGTACTAGATAATTGTAACAAGAGAAAAAAGCATTCAATGGTACAATCAAAAACTAGGAACTCATACTGTGGCAGATCACTCTTTGTACAAGAACTTTCAGCAGAAGGAACCTACAAAGCAATATCTAATCATTCCTATGAAAGACCTTAGATTAGCCAAACATGTGTACGTTCAGAATGTATCTACATTTCTAGTGCATTGTTGGAATGAGTTTATTCACACAATACTTTGTGGAGAACTGACAAGAAGTTCCCCTTACAACTGCCCTTGGTCAGGAATTGTATGGCTTCCTTGATTAGCATAGTACTGTCTATAATATAACATTTAGGAACTGTTTAAATTGGTGAGGACCTAAGAACAGAATTTTTTCATGATACTCTACTTATGTCAGCATTTTTTTTATTATTATTCATTAACCCTGCATTTATCCACACTTTCACAGCCCCTCTCACCCCAGATGCTGCTTCAGCCCTAAACATACAAGACACCAGGAGTGCCTTTCAAAATGCGTCACTTTCTCATGATTATATTGGATGTGTTTAATTAACTCCTAACAAAACTCAATGTGAATCTGTAATGGAATGCCTACTATGAAGACACATAAGTGACACTGTGTGCAGTAAGAAATATGGTCAAAAAGAAAACATAGCCATAATATGAATTTACTAAGTATGTAACATTTCAAACTTATCAAGAGTTCCTAATCAAATGAAACTAAAACTCAAAATGGCCACTGTACTTTCCAAAATTTGGCAGAGAACTAAACAATACTGCATATGAGGGCATGAATGTTCAAAAGGTGTCCTCGGACCATATCATTATATATATATATATATATATATATATATATATATATATATATATATATATATATATATATATATATATATATATATATATACACACACAAATATATGAAAATATATAGATGTAAATATATAATGTATTGCACTGAGATCATCCCCTTATATAATCAGGTGTAACAGAGCTTGACTCATTTCTTAAATGATGACAAACTGCCAGAGGTTTACAAGAATAACTGTGACAGAATATACTGGGATAGGTTTACTACCATTTGACAGCGTGAAAAAAAAAGAACAGTGGCATGGACATCAGTGGCAGATGTGCTGACATTCTGTAAAATTTACTTTCCTACCAATAGTAATGCAAGTTGACCACATGCCACCAAGGAAAATGAATAAAAAATGAGGAAAATGCTGTGCTCATATTTTATATTTTTGTGAAAGGTCTCTCCACATAGATGGCTCTGCTAGAGCTTAGCCATAAAAGAGTCAATTTGGAAAAGCATTTTTTACTAGTGCTATGAATGCTGATGGTGTAATTTTTATTATAAACATTATAATAACCATAATATTATAAACATTAGTAACAGCAAAATAGGACAATGTAAACTATTTTCGTAAATCAAGGAAAAGGGTAAACGGGCATTGGTGACTTAGTACAGGTATAGACATCTATGTATAAAAACAATTAAACAAGTAACCTAACAGTGGGCATCGCATGTACATGCCATGACCACATCCATGCCATGCCTGTCAGCACTTGGTTAATGTACTCAAGAAGAAATAATGGTAAATTACTGTTTTGAGCAAAAATATAACACAAGAAAACAGTACATGGATTTTAGAGATCAGGGAATTTTAAAATATCTTTATTTAACAACATAGTTGTTGTACATTGAAAATAAAGGATATAAGATATATGACTTTAGTAACAAATTCAATCAAGTCATCACCATTGCCTATGTTCCTTTGGTACTCTTGCAAAGGGCAATATACCTCTACTATATATTACAGCATGACAAGAGCTCAGACTAGTAACTTGTTTGACGGATTTTGCCAAGAAGGTCTACAAACATACACAAAGTCATTTGTGCAACACACAATCTTGAAGACCTCTCTGGCTCATATATTGTTGAACAAAGAATCAGTCTACACTCTAATATCCCAATAATGTACATGGAAGAGATTAGCTTTAAGCACTGAAGGTTTAGAAAACAAGGCAATTTTTGGCACTGTGCCACTAACAGGTTGGAGGTGAAATTGTAGGCCTTCAATCACTGATCACAGTATACTGAAGATGTTATGGTTTGAACAGAGCCAATATGATTACAAGAAAGAAAATTGAGAGCCTCTGCAGTTTATCAAGATTTTCTGAAAGTCTCAAGTTGTATTCTAAAAGCACAGTTTCCATTTTTTACCTTATCACAACTGTCATAAAAAAAGAGTAAATTTTTCAGGAAACCACCATGTTAGGATTAAAAAAATATATATATAATCATCACAAAGAACACACAATACTAAAAGGTATAACAAAAACATAATATGGCCAATGAAATGCATGATTCTACAGCCACATATCAATGTCAGTGGATCTTTTCATCAAGCCATGCCAAAGCCTCTATGGCACTCATTGGTAACAGTAGAAAAAAAAAAATAAATAAATAAATAAAAATATATTCTGACATGTTTTGACCTTATACAGTGAATGTCAAACTTCCATCTATCCAGAATGTATGCTGTGGAGGTTTGTTGACCTTGGCATCAGTGACATGCAGAGGCCGGGGCATTGCTTGACGAGGTTCCGTGTTGAATAATCCCAAGAAATACATTTTGGAATTCACTGATCAACCTGTTTTCACGCACTGTTTACCTTCACCTATGAGTATGTCAAACGATAGAAACAAAAAAGTAAAAAAACCAGTTATATTGTCAATTATTTTTCTCTTGAATCTTTCATTACAAAAGGTAAGAACAGAAGCTAAACCACCATCACAACTTAAGTAACACCAACTACAAAATTAATGAAAATGTCATTTGAAAAAGGTATCACATCTAATTTGGGAGTCTTCCAACCCAAAACACCTGTTATCAAGAGAAATGTCTATACAAAGGGGTCCTAGACTAACAACACCAAACACAAACAACCATATTCACTATCATTTCACTATCAAGAGTTTTTGTATTCTCAAACAACTAGGTCACATTACATGACATTGAACACATCATCACCACATCACCACAACATCCTGGTGAACTTAAATTTGGGAACTTTATCATAGGCCTATACGACTCTAAGGTACATAGGACTATAAAGATCGAGGTACATAGGCCTACATCAAGATCTCGGAGTAGAGGACATTCCTGAAAAAAGTTTTAGAATCTTCGGAGAAAATGTCAAGAAACTCAGGACAGGTGTGTGAAGAACAAGCTCTCCCTTCCCTATTTACCAAATCCCTGATCCACTATGACGAAAGGGGAGGCACGAGCGAAGAGGAAGAGAGAGAGAAAAGGTGATAATCGAGGGACATAAAAGAGAGGCTGAATATGTTAACAGGGTCCGTCTTGGCTCAAAATGGCAGCTCGCGAACCCAGCCTTCCAACTCACACCCCCGCCCTGCTCTGCCCACGCCCTACCCCGCCCTCCTTCGCCAGCGGAGTGCCACCCACAATCGTCACGACCCCGCCCGTGCCCCGTGACCCTACCTGGGGGTGACCTGAGGCGTGGTGCAAAGGGATTTAGTGAGGCATCTGAGGCGGCGCTCCTGTCATCGGTGTTTCCGGCAAGGTGGCCCTGCGCGCACTGCCATCTCGCGGCCGGAGGGGAAAGCGACGGAAAACGGGAAGGCGACAGAAAACGGGAAGAGAGGGGGGACTCGGCTCTTTCAGGTAGAGGGGGGACTCGGCTCTTTCAGGTAGAGGGTGGGGGGGACTCGGCTCTTTCAGGTAGAGGGGCGACTCGGCTCTTTCAGGTAGAGGGGGGACTCGGTTCTTTCAGGTAGAGGGCGGGGGGGACTCGGCCCTTTCAGGTAGAGGGGGGACTCGGCTCTTTCAGGGATTTCGGTTTCTCGATTTAAATATTTCAGTGAGGAATAGACCTATTTTTTTAAAGTAGATTTAATGAAATGATGATAAGGAAATGATGTTGAAATGAATACAATTGTCTGGGTTTGATGTTCTTAGTTCAGGATCCCTTAAGTGATGACATATCTCTTTTTTATTATCTAATTTCTTAAAATTTTCACAAATATATTTTATATTTCACAATGTTCCCTCTAGCAGTGGAGAGAGAAGGGACTCGATTCGTCAAGACTTTTAGTTTCTCGTTCTGTTTATATCAATGGATCTTTTTTATCATCACACCCCCTTTGGTAGATGGTCCTTGCCTCCCGCCCCCCCCACCCCACCCCCGCATTTTCCATAAATTATTAAAACTTTCTCCTGAATTGAAACGAAGAACTGGACCCAAACATATTAAGAGAAAATCCTGTATTTTTCGTCTCTGAGTTTATGGACGCCATTTTATGGATATACCTGTGAATCTAAACGTCTTTCCTTCTGTCCAGTGTCATTATTATCTATTATTATCCTTATATGTTATTATTATCATTATCATTTTTATCTCTGTTAGCAGTACCACTTTTATCATAAAAAAAAAAAATAATAATAATAATAGTAATAATAATAATAATAATAATAATAATAATAATAATAACAACAATAATAATAATAACAATTATTATTATCATTATTATCATTATCATTATTATTATCATTATCATTACTATTATCATTATCATTATTATTATTACTATTATTATTATTACTATTATTTTTATATCTATTAGGAGTAGCAGTTGCAGCACTTATCATATATATTATCATATTCACTATCATTATTGTTATTATTATTGTTATTGTTATTATTATTTTTATCATTATTATTATTATTATTATTATTATTATTATTACTATTATTATGATCATTATTATCATCATAATAATAATGGTGATAATAATAATGATTATTATTATTATTATTATTATTATCATTATTATTATTATTATCATCCTTTTATGGTTATAATTATTATTATTATCCTTTTTAGCTTAATTGTAATTATCATTTCCATTATTATTATTAATATTAAAATCATTACTATCATTATATCATTATTATAATTGTAATGATTATTATCGTCACAATTATTATAATCATTATCAATATGATTATCATTACTATTATTATTATTATTATTATTATTATTATCATTATTATCATTATTATCATCATTATCATTATGGTGGTGTTGATGATGATTATTATCATTATCATTCTTATCATTATTTGCTTCATTAATATTATTATCATTATTATTAATATAATTAATATTATTATATTATTATTATCATTATCATTATTGTTATCCTTATCATTATCATCATTATCATCACTATTATCATTACTACTATCATTATTGTTATTGTTATTATCATTATTATTGTCATTATTATCAGTACTATTATTATTATTACCATTATTATTATTCATTTATTATTCTTATTACTACTATTAGCATTATCACCATCATCATTATTATTACTATAATCATCATTATTATTATCATTATGTTCATTATCCTTATTATTATTATTGCTATTATTATTTTTCATTTATTATTATCATCATTGTTATTACTATTTCTATCATTGTTATTACTATTGTTATTATTATTATTATCATCATGATCATTCTTATTGTTATCATTATCATTATTATCATCATTATCATTGTTATTACAATAGTTATGATTACGTTTATCCCTTTTATCATATTTTTGTTATCAGTACTGTCTTTGTTATAACTATTATCATGATGATAATGATGTTTCTTATAATGTTCATTATTATTGTTATTATCATTATTATTATTATTATTAGTATCATGATGATTATCATAATTATTATCATCATTTTTATCATTATCATCCTCTTTATTATTGTTGCTGTTCTTATCATTATCACTATCATTATTGTTATTATCATTTCTATCATCTATATTATTATTATTACCACAATTACTATTATTATTATCAGTTTTATTGTTATCGTTTTCATTATCATCATTTATCATTCTCAGTGTTTTTTTTATTATAATTGTCTTATTATCATCATTATTATTACCATTATCCGTACTTTTATTATTTTTGTTATTATTATCATCATTACTATCATGATTATCACTATTATTATTGTTATTATCATTGTCATTATTATTATCAATATCAATAACATTATTCTTATTATTACTGTTATTATCATTATTATCAAAAGAGAGAGAGAGAGAGAGAAAGAGAGAAAGAGAGAGAGAGAGAGAGAGAGAGAGAGAGAGAGAGAGAGAGAGAGAGAGAGAGAGAGAGAGAGAGAGAGAGAGAGAGACATACTGTATATGTGTGTAGGTATATAAGTATGTACATACATATGTATACATAAGTATGCGTTTTACCTTTCTCATTGCTTTTCCACGCAACACATAAAAGTAATGTTAACGTGCGCGATATTCCAGATCATATATTTCCTTCGGTCCTTCCTCTATTGTTGAATATGGTCGCAAATAGAAACCTTATGTGGTATGACACCCATCGTGGTGAGATGCGCGTCCCGTCTTTCTCCTTTCTAGAAAATTCTTCGCTCCTGATGGCTTATCATGTCTTGAATTAATTATACTGTTATTGAGTGCTCGACGTATTTTTTTTCCTTCCCTTTTTTCTGTCATTTTATGGTGAATTTTCCCGATTTACTATCTTGGGGTCAAAAGTATGAAAGGTTAATTATAATATTTTTTAAAATACTTTTTCTTCAAGCATGAATACGTTAATGATAGTTACATGGCGTGAGGGATCCGACTGAATACGGGTGTTTATGATCATCTGTTGACAACCATCATAAACAGGCAATGCCCTTTTCTACAAAAAAACAAAAACAAACAAAAAAAAAACTAAAAAAAAAGATATACTAACAAAATCATACTAATTAAATACTTATTTGTCCGAAAGGGAGAGTGCCACAGCATAAATCGCAAGGCAAAATCACTGAATAAAAAAATATTAAAAATTAAAATATCTCGGGGAACCTTTCCTGCATCTCATTCTCGGTAATAAGCAGGCGTTCCTGAAAGATATTATGCATGAATAGCCACGCCGTGGAAATATATAATATAAGGCGTAAAAAAAATAAACCAGGAGGAGGAAAAAATGTACTCGAAGAAACACATGATAACTTTTATTTGCATTTTCTAACGGGAAGTAAATACGGCAATTATTCAGTTAAAAATCCATTCGTAAATATTCGTTTGGTTAAAAGTGATCTCGATAGTGCAGTATTTTTAAGCTAGAAAGTATTGAATTTTATGATGGACCTAAAAAAATGGACTTGATTATGGAAATGGTAAGGCAGAATGCGTTGAACACAGGTAATGTCAACACTGCCTTTGTGTGATCGCTTAAGTCGATAAAATATGAGAGCTGTGCACACGTTTTGAACAACTTATTAAACAAAATTGCAGGCTCAGTCATTTCTCCTTTTTTTCTTGTATCAGTGTTCAGGCGAACTGCTTACTATGTACCAACTGGTATGTTGCAGTTATCCGAATAACTTTGTGCAATTACCTCATCAAAACTTATTGGGCGAGGAGGAGGGGGAGGGGGGGGGGTAGTGTGCATTACTCTGTATGACTTGCCTAGGACGATGGGCAGTTCAACACCTTGGCGCCGGCCCTGGTGATGGTACCTCTTGACAAAATCAATGTTGTATAAACTTTGCCTCTCGCCTCTTCCACGGGTGTCTTTTCGATATATCGCAGTCATAAGGTGACGCTGTATGGTGCATAGAGTAAAAGCTTATATAGGTGGAATATAACAAGGCACAATCAATAAAAAATAAAACTGCTAGTGTGGTACGTCGTTAGGGCTTTTCCACAAATCTTGAATCTTTAAAGCACTGTGCGTTGCAGTGTCGTATCCCAGACAGAACCGGTACTCTCCGGTACCCTCATCCCTAGGTATCTTATAAACGTGCTAATACTGCTAGATGATTAATCCAGTGGTGATTATAACAATGCTATGGATGGCAATACTGGTGGCAATATCAGAATGAATAACAAGAAGTGATACTGATAACGATAACAACAATAAAGATAACCATGGCTACTATGGCAATATATTAAAGATAATGCCTATAATGATTAGAGCAAACAAAACAAATGACACTATTGGTAATAACAAAATTATGATGCCTTAAATAGCTTTTAAGATGATAACAATAACAACAATATTGGTAATAATAAATGATAATATGGACAATGCTAATGATAGCAACACATACTTCAGTGCGATATATGTAGAAAAGGCATGAATGCGAATGAATAATTTCACAATACAAGAAACGTATTTAACCGGTTTCGAAAATCTATATATATTTGAAACCGGTTAAATACATCTCATGGTATTATGAAAATATTTATCCTCTTTCATACCTTTTCTACAAATACTTCAAAATAATAACTAATAATAATGAAAATGATAATAAAAATTAATAAAATAAGCAATAAGTATATCACTGCTAATGTTGATAGATAATAATAATGACACAAATAATGGTTATAACAGTATTAGTAATATTAGTAGTAATATTGCCGGTAATGATACCAGTAATAATGTTAGCAATAGTAAAATTACAATAACGATGATAAGAGTAATTGCGATAATGATAATAATAATGATAATCATGATTATACAAATATATAT